TATTTATTATATTATAAATATTAATATTTAAATATTATGTATCATTATATATTATAACACATAATATCATAATATTGTGTTATTATTATATATTATGTTATATTATGTATTATTTATTTATATTTAATATTGTATATTATGTTGTATTATGTATCACTTATATATATTTAGTATTATATATTATTATATATTATATTATAAGTATTAATATTTAATATTAATTAATATTATTTAATTATTATTATATATTAAAATATAAATATTAATAATTAATATTAATATTTAAATATAAAAATTTACACTATTAATATTAATTTAAACTTCACCTAAAATTAACTTAACATAACAATTGTTTTATACTCTAATAAAATTAATAAATCATTAACTTATAATATAAAGTTTAACTGCTGGCACTTTAATTTTATCATTCTTAATTTTCATTCCCCTCATTTAATTTTCATTAGATTATATAGAACTTTTTATTAATTTTATTATATATATTTAATACAAACAAATTATACATGAAACATTAATTTAACCATAATACTTACATCGTGTTTGACCTCCGAACAGAGAGAAGAAAAAATTTTCATTGCACACGAAGATCGAAGACTCGTCCGTCGATGAATTAGAAGGAAACAAGAAACGCACGTGGCGAAAGAATTAAATATTTTGCGTGCCTGTGCATCATCGTCGTGTGCATGGTTCGGCCACGATCTCGCGACTCTTTTATTTACTTTTCGCTACCCTTTTCACTCTCTCCCCCCACCCCCCTCTTTTTTCTTTTTTTTTTTTTTTGCAATATCCACAAAACTCATGGACTTCCAATCTGTTTCAGTAATAACCAGAGTAAACGATCGGACGTGACGTCACGCGGTTCGAACACCGGAAAGTCGGGCGCTTTGGAATTGTCGGCAAGCGTGCACGTGCACCGAGCGTTCCGACACGCGAAACGGGGACAACAGGAGCGCGGCCCGCGGCACGGCCATTACACCGTTAATGTTGGACTTTGTTTGCCTTGAAAATTGATGCCCGCCATACCGGGACACCCCCAGCAACCCCCTCTTTCGACCCTCGCAACCGCCGACCTCTCTTGTTGCTTCTCTGCTGCTATTTTTTCCTCCGCTTGCCGCTCCCTCGTGTACCTTTCGCCTGCCTATCTGTCGCTGGTTCCAGCGCGCGCGCGGGAAACCGATACGTTTTATCAGGGATCGTTCGGATGTGAAATTCTCTGTTCGCTTCGTTCCGTATTTACGGGAGAGCGTGTTGTACATTAAAAAAAAAAAAAAAAAAGAAGAAGAAGAGGACACACCATCCGCGAAATTTCGAAGAATTTCGTGATCTACGTGGCAAGATCAAGCAAGGGCAAAGAGACAGCACACTCTGAAAATGATTAAATCTCTTTCTATCGAACGAGTGATACGAAAAATTATTCTTGTATCCTTTCGTAGTCGACAGTAACGTAAATTAAAGTTTTCTAAAAAGGTAGAAACGTGATAGCACAATTCGCGAAAGAGAATATGTAGAGAGAGAAGAAACGAGTTTTCTTTGAGATTTGCAAAGATTTATTGTAGGTTTTCCTCCGCAATACAATTTTTTAGTTTGTTAATATTTTACGAATTGAATTCATTAATATTATAATAATTTTCTGTAGCATTGGCTATTCTATTTAAAACACAAATTTCTTTATTTGCATCGTTCAGAAATTGGCTATTCTACTTAAAACACAAATTTTTTTATTTAGTATCTATTCTATTTAAAACACAAATTCTATTTAAAACACAAATTTCTTTACTTGCATTGTTCAAAAATTGGCTATTCTATTTAAAACATAAATTTCTTTATTATCGTTTCACTGCTCTCGCGGTGTGTACGACCATGTTACCACGTTGAAAAGTTTTTTGTTTCCCAACGATTCGTATCGCATACGCTGTTAATTTGTTCATTTCGATATACATTTTGCTATTTAATTGTCCAGTAATAAATTTTATTTTCGTATTATTGTTTCGATACCTCCCCAAATCATTACACCTTCCACGTAAGTATGTCAACGATTCAAAAGTTGTTCCTCCTTTCGTAAATCGTGACAATGCACGGTGGGTCAAAAGTTTCCTCCCACCAATTTCTTTTCAACAGAATACTAAAATATTAGAACGAAACTTTTCTAAAAAGGTAGAAATTAATTGATTTGATTAATTTGAAACTAAACTCAAGTTCGAACATTCACGAATTCGAGTTAGCTTACTTTAATCAGCGAAAAGAAAATTTTTTTTTAAATATACAACAAAGTTTTTAATAGGAAGTGACTTTTGATTCCTCGTCACTTATCGCACACAATTCATAATACTTAATATAAGCAAGTACAGAGTCTTGGCACACCGTTTCCGGATTTCGTCGAGTCTCGTTAAGAGTCGATTTACGTAGCCGTGGAAGAATTGGCTCGAGTTACCAAGAGTGAATTACCAGCGATTTTTATTAAAATAATTTCGCTGAAGAAAACATGGATGATCACCGTTTCCGACATGACTGAGCTTTCAGTCGCAACTTTGTTTCCCTAGTCCCCTCTTGCCGATCAATTTTCCGATTCTTATCCCACGTTTTCTGGGACCCGATGCAATTTTGCCTAGCTTACCGAACCTGAGACTCGGGATGCTTTATGGTCTCGAGCGTGAAAGATTTTGCAACAGAGTTGGGAGCGATAACACATCGGCGTTTAAATTTGTTTTGTCAGATTTATTGGGCAGTGTATCCTTGCACTTCTCTCTGCTAATTTACATCTCCGTCTCGGCGCTAGAGAACCGAGAATCTTTCGCAAAAATTTAGCCCCTTGTTGCTAAAGATCGGCGATAAGTTACCAAAGCGGATTTACGAGCGGGCAGATAAAAGTCAAAACTGTGCACGTTATTGGCGGATAATGTGCCTTCTCAGTTGTCGAATCGGTATTCCTGCGAAACTCTGAAGATCGTGCATCGATCGCGGCACGATTTCTTTTTCTTTCTTCATAGATCGACGACTCCAAATTGAAGATTGGACGACATCTTTTCAAAACGGGAAGATTCTTTCCGTGATTTCGATACTCGGCTATCCTAAAGAAGAATTCATCCACGACAGCCACGGGTAAATTTTCGTTTCCACTCTCCTTCTTACCCTTATATCGATGATCATGTTCGTATTTCATCTGTTATTTTTTCACCAGTGCTACGTGTATTTCCTCGGCTGCTTATGGTCACACTCAGAGACCGAATCGGTAAAATACTGATATTTTTTAGGTTACTATTCAATTACGTTCGATGAAACCGAACCGATATGATGCTATCAAAACGATGTTAGGTCGGTAGATGTATTTCGGTATAATACCGGTAAATAAAATATTAATATATTAGAAAAGGAACAGGAGACAATGATTAAATGTTTTCATAAAGCTGCCGATAGTAAATTCGACGACGCTTAACACACGTATCCTTTATTATTTCTAATACTAATTCATCGTATCTCCGTACAATGTCAGCCACGATACTCTTGGTTAATTTTAAAAGATGACCGATCTCTCGATACGTTTTTCCTTTTTCTCGGTGAAAAATGACTAATTGTCGTACGTCGATAAATCGAAAGTGGAGTTGAAACAACGATTGATCGTAGAATGGAAGAATATTTCGCTAAATTACTTAAAAAAAATTACTGGAAATATGCCTAAGCGTCTGCGATGTATTGTTGAAGTTAAGGGCTACCTAACAAAATATTAATTATCGTTTATGTTGACAATTTTCAGGTTCAAACATTGTAGTTCTTCAAATGTCCGAATATTTTTGCCACGCTACATTTCGACATAGTTCAGTTTATNATTATAAACAATCGAAATCCACAACAATATTTTGAATAGCATGATGTCCGAATATTAATAAGAGTCACTGTACGTAGAAAATGAAAAATGTGTTTTTGTCAGTAAAGCGGTATATATTTCGGTATTTTTATCGTTGTGGACATCAAATATCGATAAAATACGTATGAAAATACCGTCTTATACCGATATTCGAAAACCGATTTTCCAAATAGCGGTTGTATTACGATAATATGGGAGCAAATACCGGTACAATACCTAAACCTCACAATATTTCGGTTCCAGTCTCTGGGTATAAACCTCAAAATATTTCGGTTTTCAGTCTCTGCTCACACTGGCCGTAAATAAAACAAGCGACGACAAATAATACTGATAACATCGTGTAATTCACACTCACCGATCGTCGTTAGCACCGTGAGAGAGTACAAAAACGCCTTGGCAAAGTTCCACTCGTACTCCGGTATCCGTCTCTCAGTCACGGTGTCGCTCGCGGAACTTCCGACGTACGTCCCGGCGTTCTGAGTCGCCATCATGTCCTCGGTGATCCTCTTCACCAGTTGATCCTGAAAACGTGCGATCTCCTGGGCAGCCAGCTTCGTCCAGTTCTCGCGGTAGAGAATGTTCAGGCTCTCTGTGATTATCCATATGTTTTCCACGGTCTTTGTCCGGGCCTCGTGGCTTTCCTACAGGAAAAAAAAAAAACAAAAAATATATATTTCCATCGAGTTCCAAGGGTAGGAAGAATGGCGCGAAAGGAGAATATTTCAATCGACTCGAGAGTTCATTGGCGTCCAGGAATCTGAGCAATTCGGGATAACTAAGAGAATAAGATCGTTCAGTGCGAAACTGGATGTATTAGGGGTGTATTCACAAGTTATGTCGTTTTTCTCAAATTTAATAAACCCATATTTAATAATTGCCATGGTTAAAATTTTCTTCAAATCTAATAAACTCATATTTAATAATTACCATGGTTAAAATTTTTTTCAAATTTAATAAACTCATATTTAATAATTGTCATAGTTAATATTTTTTTTTTCAAATTTAATAAATCCATATTTAATAATTGTCACACCCACATATTTTTTTTAAATTTAATAAACCTATATTTAATAATTGCTACGGTTAATATTTTTCTTTTCAAATTTAATAAACTCACATTTAATTATTACCATAGTTAATATTTTTTTTCAAATTTAATAAACCTATATTTAATAAATACCATGGTTAATATTTTTTCTAAATTTAATAAACTCATATTTAATAATTACCATAGTTAATATTTTCTCTTTTCAAATTTAATAAACTCATATTTAATAATTGTCATAGTCAATATTTTTTCCAAATTTAATAAACCCACATTTAATAATTGCCATGGTTAATATTTTTTTTTAAATTTAATAAACCTATATTTAATAAATACCATGGTTAATATTTTTTCTAAATTTAATAAACTCATATTTAATAATTACCATAGTTAATATTTTCTCTTTTCAAATTTAATAAACTCATATTTAATAATTGTCATAGTCAATATTTTTTCCAAATTTAATAAACCCACATTTAATAATTGCCATGGTTAATATTTTTTTTTAAATTTAATAAACCTATATTTAATAAATACCATGGTTAATATTTTTTCTAAATTTAATAAACTCATATTTAATAATTACCATAGTTAATATTTTCTCTTTTCAAATTTAATAAACTCATATTTAATAATTGTCATAGTTAATATTTTTTTTTTCAAATTTAATAAATCCATATTTAATAATTGTCACAGTCAATATTTTTTTTCCAATTTAATAAACCCACATTTAATAATTGCCATGGTTAATATTTTTTTCAAATTTAATAAACCCATATTTAACATTATCGAATTCAAAATTACGAGACTAGTCGATGCTAGTTGATAATCTCTGTACAAAAATATCTCGTTAGTCAAGCAGTCGACTGATTTTCAATTTCACTTTTCTCAAAAACGAAACCTCCCACGCGTCAATTTCGTCATATCTCGAAAACCGTAAATCATCTCTGAATCGAATCGTGACACGCAATTTAATTTTTCTTTCCAACTTTTTGGCAAAGACTATTTAACCAAGTGTGCATCTTCGATACACCATCGATATCTTTAATTTATCTGCAACTGGGCTTCCCGGAAAGGGGAAAACACGCAACGGAAGAAAGTTTTCCAAAAGTGTTCCAGAGTCGCACTGGCGAGCCGAGCAATATATATAAAAAAAAAAAAAAAATGGACTGGAATGTAATTTGCGAAGCGTTGGCGTTGGCGGAAACGCGTTCGCTCGTAACAAAACGAATCGTTAACCGTAAAAATGCAACAATGAGAGATAAAAAGAAAAGAGAGACAGAGAGAGAGAGAGAGAGAGAGAGAGAATGGAAGAGGGAAAAAAAGGAGAAAACGACGTCGCGTCGGTGGAATCAATAGTTGTGCACTCACCTGCTTGAACCAAGCGGTGGCATTCCGCCTGGTAGGCTGATTCCCCGCTATTGTGGTAGCAAGTGTCCTCTGTTGCATCCCAGGATCGGCACCGCCCTCGATGGCGAGGAAGATGAAGCTACCGAGCAGAGTGTATGCCACGAGGAGGGCGCATATGCCGAGGTTTATAATACAGCCCTTGAGGAAGGAATGGTGGCTGGCCTTGTCCGGCACTCCGCCGAAGCAAAGGCACCTCACTTGCCTCGACGGATGCGTTTTCGAGCGGTCGGACGTCGACCTCTTCAAGGACGATGTATTGCCATTGTTCGCGGGCTTGAAGCCCTCGTAAGCTCTGTAATGTCTCGCGCTGTCCTTCTCCATTCTCTCCTCGTTTCTGTCTTTTCCTTCTTTTTTTCTCCTCTCTTTTCTTTTCTCTCTTTCTCCTACCGGATCGCCCAATTCTGTCCTCTAACACTCATTTGTCTGACACGCTCGGTGCCTCAGCTCGCTCTGCGCGAATCGACGACGACCGACGAGCGAGGAGGGAAACAGAGAAACAGAGAGAGAGAGAAAGAGAGAGAGACAACAGCCACCTTCTTCTAATAGTCTTCGAAGTATCCCTCGACGAATCGATCATCCCTCGCTCCTTTCTTGCGCTGCCCTCTCGATCACCCGCTAGATCATCTTCCTAGCCTCGGCTCGTTCGAAGCAATGAGCAACGCGGCTCACCGGTGCGGTGCATGCTCTCGACGTCGTCGTGGCTTATCTATCTCGAGGCGGCCGAGGAGGAGGAGTCGTCGACGGAGGCGTGCTGGTTCCTCGACGATTTTCTGCGCGATCGTCTCCGCGATCTTCGCGAGTCCATTCCTTTCAGCTGCATCGCGTTGCAAACGAAAGCGCCGGAGGCGTCGGCGAGTTCACCGCTCGAGGGAAACTCCATCGGTGCGATCTCGCGCCGTTTCTCGGCCTTTGTCGGCGGGTTACCGCGTCTAAACGACTGGTGGCGGCTTTTATTATTATCTCCCTTTAGGAAACGGAAGCGGAAGCGTTGGATCGCGTATGCAAGGCGGGCACCGTCATTTTTCTAGAGCCGGACTCGGCCGTCCTCGCTGGAACGCCGCCCGGAATTCTATGGAAAAAAATCGATGTTGGAGATATTTTCTGGGATATTAGTTCGAACGCCGGGAGATGAGAGAGAGAGAGAGAGGGGGGGGGGCCGAAATCGAAAGACTCGATCCTCGTTTTCGGGGATATTGCCCTCTCAAGCAAGCCACGCATACGTTTATGCGAGATATTTATGGCCGCCCGGCATTGCAATAACCGTCCAAACTCGATCTTATTAAAGAGCGCGACTCGACGGTAATCCCAGTCTTCTCCAATGTCTTCAATGGGGGTCCGTGTTCAGCGATTTCGTCTTCGGTGGGTCCGGAGGTTCGTCGAGTGTTGGAAAACGGCGACGCGAGGTTCGCGTGCCGATCGATTAAACACCGATGACAACACGGAAACCACCGGCACTCCGGAACGCAGGTTTAGCCGCGCTTCCGCTACACCGCGACGATTCTTTCGCCCGGCGCGTTGCCAGCCAAATGGAAACTTAAACAACGGCGCGGAGTGAATTTCAAGAGCGTCTCCATGAGTCACTCGAACTTTTCTCCGTGCCGGTTGAATGTAAAGGCACCCGGGAGAGTTCCACACGCCCTGCACGTTTCGTCGTGCTCTCGCTCTCGTTCGTCGCGCTCTGCCAAGAACAGAGTCGAGGGAAAAAAGGGAGACGTAGCCGCGAGTGGAGCCGCCGGGATCCAGAACGTTGAACCAAACGCGGAAGGAAGTGGATGGCAACTTCAACAAGCCTTTATTCCCGGCAAACAAGATTCCCCGGATAAGTGTCCTCGATGCAGGTCGCGGCTGCCTCGGTGGTCCTGCACTCTGGCGCGAATTTTCCACGATGCTCGACCCGTACGATATATATTCGTTCATATATTCGTTCTTCCACCTCTCGCGTCTCCTATCTTCCTTTGCTCCGGGCTTCCGGGACTCTGTTACTCTGGCAGTTCGTCGATTTAACGGGTCGGGAGACGTGAAACTCACCGCGAGTAGCCGCTTAACTCGGTGATTAGCTCTCGTGACATCTCCTGCGCGTGTGTTTCACTCGTAAATTAGCCGGCCGTTTTTGTTCCACTTGAGGCTCTGGGGCAATCTGCAAACAGAAGCAGACGAGGATATACTCGATGGAAAGATTTGGATGGAATCTCGTAAGTCAAGGTCTTGCTTTTTGGGATTTTTAAATGTTAAAATTGACCGCGCGAACGGTGGAAGTTGCAATGAAGGAACGAAGAGAAAGTATGAACATTATTTTCTCCCCAAATATTAGAGATTTCCAAAATATCTACTTTCTTAACCTCTTTTCTTTTTTACTTTCATCATTTACAGTCGCATCGACCATTCGATAACTGCGCGAGTTACTAACATTTCGGAAATCTTACAATTTATTTTATAGGTTAGATTGTTTTAGGTTAGGTGTACTAGCTTTGCGATTTCATTTTTCTATCTTCATTATTTATAATCGCAATCACTTGCGACTCAGAACGAAATCTTACAATTTATTTTATAGGTTAGATTGTTTTAGGTTAGGTGTACTAGCTTTACGATTTCATTTTTCTATCTTCATTATTTATAATCGGAACCACTTGCGCGAGTTGTCAGCGACTTGGAACTAAATCTTACAATTTATTTTATAGGTTAGATTGTTTTAGGTTAGGTGTACTAGCTTTACGATTTCATTTTTCTATCTTCATTATTTATAATCGGAACCACTTGCGCGAGTTGTCAGCGACTTGGAACTAAATCTTACAATTTATTGTATAGGTTAGATTGTTTTAGGTTAGGTGTACTAGCTTTACGATTTCATTTTTCTATCTTCATTATTTATAATCGCAATCACTTGCGACTCGGAACGAAATCTTACAATTTATTTTATAGGTTAGATTGTTTTAGGTTAGGTTGTTGTCCTTTAGGTTAGGTCAGTCAGAAAAGGATACTTTCAAATGAGAATAAATTCGTTTTTTCGGTTAATTCATTTTTATTTCTTTCTTTTTTGTTTTTATACTGTGAAGCGGCAATTTTCAAAAGGTGTGGCCTTCAATTTTCAAAGGAAGGTTGAAAAACCTTCGTTAAGCGAAACAAAGTGGAAAAGTAAACAAGTGGCAAATGAACAATTAATCCAAAAAATTAAAGACAATTAAAGACTAAAGGGGAAAAGTCTTGTGAACTGATGAATCGAAGATCGAAGTGTTTGTATTTTCCTAACCTAAACCATTTGCATCATCAGCGTATACGTATACACACGCAATTTTCCTGGCCAGTATCACCGAGTGTGCACGTTTAATTCTCTCGTAATCGTTATCATCAGAACGTTTATATACGCACAATTTCCCGGTCATTATTATCAAAGCGCATTCTTAAATGCTATTATGAGTTGGCGCGGACATTTAGGTTAGATTAGCTCTGTACGTTTGTTGTTTCGCTTATTCCAATTATATACGTAATAATGTCTCTGAGATTTCTTCTTTCCCACACAATTTCCACCACATTTTTGTTTCTATTTTTTTTTTTTTTTATTATTACAGAGTACTGAGCTTTTATGTATCGACACAAGATACAAATTACTGAAGTTCTTTGTCATAATTTCTGGAAATTTTTCATTTAAACACAATAAGAGAAAAATTGGTGATACGGTTATTATCGTGACGCAAAAATTGAATTCTGGCCAAAGAGAACGGGTGACTCAGTTCAGATAAACTTTTCATATTTATTGTAGACAATTATTTTTAACGCTTTGTCATTTTCACTGACAAAGTATTTTAGATAAAGGCATCTTAAACAAAGAGAGATATTTCACGTGACAATGCTATTCCAACGTTTAATTAAATTAATCGTTCAATTGAAACAGTTAATTGCATTAAACAATTGTTTAATCAAGACAATTAAGTCTTTTCATTAACGAAATTAAACAAATTTCGCACCTGTAATGCATCGTGACGATCTTAGACGAATGTCGAGAATGTCAAGTTATTCAAACCAAAGTATTATACGTAACAATTCGAGATTAAGAAACTTTTGAACGACCTACGTAGATAGGGAAATGTCGTCTCACCTCGACAACAGATTTACAGAATATCCTGCAGCGAGAACGGAGACAACGCGTCGGTGGAGAAACATTTTTAAAATGTTGACCGCGCGAACAGTGAAAATTGCGAAAGAAAGAAACGAGGAGAAAGTATTCCAAAATATCTCGATTCGTGTGTCTCTAAGCGAAAGGGGAAGAAAAATTCAACCATCGTTTCATTCCCTCTTCTTCCCACTTCAATGCAAATATTTCGAGCAAGTAGCCTTAAGACGACTTCAATTTCTCCGACTTCTGCGTAAAATATTTCGCTCGCGGGGGCGCCGCACGTGTCAAACTATCCAATAATAATAGAAGCAGCGATCTCCTCCCCACCTTTTCGCCCCGCCGCGTCGTTTATTAATAGCGTGATTGCACGGCTCGCCTTTATTCAAAACGTTGACGCCGAAGCGATCCGAGCGCCGAAGAATTTCAATAGCCCTCTGTTACGACGATATTAAAAATACCATGGAAGCGTTTCCAGATTTCAACTGTGACGCCACAGCTATACAGCTCCCCCCCCCCCCTCCCCTCCTGTATACGTGTATACGGGCACGAAATCTCCCGTGGAATCTTCGAATTTAAATATCACTGAGCATCCAATGGCGCGGTGATCCTGAATCACGCGTGTGGGAGATATCAGGAACTCGAAGGGCTTTAAACCGCTTGATCTTGCTATGCATTTATGGATGTCGATGCCTGGAGAAATCTCACACGAGGCATACCTGTCACCGATTTCCGCTCAAGACGAATCGACCATCCTCCCCTTGATTCACCTTGCCGGCCATCGCCATTTTTATCCGACCTGTCTCGTGCTCTCTTTCGTCCGATCTCTCTCTCTCTCTCTGGGGCTCTGTATTAGTGGATTTGAGGATGATCGTCGATTATCGTCCCTTCTGGCCGAAGAACGAGAAAGAACGGGGGGAGGGGGAGGGGGGGGGGAGGCAGCAACGAAAATTCCAAAGAACATTTTCCCGCGATTTCCCAGAGGGCCGTCCTCGATAATTCAAAGTCCCGCTTCCCACCTAGAGATTCAACTGTCTTCCACGGGATATCGAGGAACCGGCGTTATTGTGGCCGGCGTGTGTTGGTGGATCCACGGGGTTCTTTATCGAAATTTCGTACTGGTCGCGCCGAGCGTAAGAAACACGGTCGCCAGTATTCTTCTATCACGGTGGCTGGGGCTAGCTGCTCGTTCTCGCGAGAATCGGGCTCGCGATAAAGCCCGATAAAAGAAACGCAGTCTCGACACAATCTTAATATCTATTTCGAGAAGACACACGGCGACAAGAGAGGTCAACGAGTTAACTAATTGCTAAATGTCATATCGTTTATATAAAATTATTGATTCACGTTAGGTGGAATTAAATATTGTTGAAACTTTCATTTAAAAATATTTATGTATATATATATAATTTATTAATATATATAATATTATATTATATATATAATATTTATTTATATATATATATATAATGTATATATAAAAATATTTATGTATATATAAGTAATTTAATTTAATATAATTGAATTAAATTTTACAATGAAAAGTATATTTCAGTAATAATTAAAAATTAATAATATTATTAATAGTTTGGGATAATGAATTTCCTTTAAAAATAAATAAGTAAAATTTATTTTGTACCTTCTGCATCCAGGGTTAATTAATTTATTTATCTCGAAAGTAAATGATCTGTATTATTTCGTTTGTGAAATAAACGAAATAAATGTATATTTAGAAACTAAATGTTTGTCGTATTTATTAATGTCTAGCTTTTTTTTTTTAAATAAATTTAATTTGTACATGCTGGTTTACTTAAAAACGTAAAATTTCCTCTGCTGTCAAAAAAAAAGGTAAAATTTCCTTTATTATCAAAAAAAAAAGATTAGTATTTTGGGGATGTAGACGCAATGAATCGACAAACGACGAAAATAACGAAAAGCAATTTTAACCGAAGAGTTGCAGCACTGTTTCGCTAAATCCAATAGAATAGTGTACTGTTGGAATAAGTTGTATACACTATCGAGGGGGTAATGCCTCGAAAATAACATCGTAAATTTGGACGAATAATTTTCTTTTTTCTTTTTAAATAAACCCTGAATTTTTTTCTCTTAGAAATAAATTCTGCGAGCTTCTCCGGGCATACCACCTATTTCTCTCCCTCTCCACCGTATAAAAACGTACGGCGCGCACCCGATACCGTTAATTGCCACGCGTGCAAAAGTTCTCCTGTACTGCTGTAGGAAAACCGGATTGAAAGGTAATTTCACGGTGTAAGCAAACGGGTGATAACGGGCCAATAAAATCCTTTAATTCTTCGATTGCTTCTCTTACCGCTCGCTGACAGACAGACAGAAAGAGAGGATTCCGCGGGAAACGTTATCCCGCCAATTTCGCCGCGGCCTCGACGCGTGAGAACCTCTCGGAATTCGATACCAATTTGATATACCTGTTCGAACCTGTTTCGCGGCTTTCCCTCCTCCGCGTCGTCGGCGAACGTTTTTCCAAGGATTTGCCCCTTCAGCTTCCTTTCCATCCTACGCAATTGGCAAACTTGAGCTTTGAGAAAACTTGGAAGAACCGAGCGTTAGAAAGCGTTTGTAAAACCGAACGGGCGACTTCGTGTTCGAACAACGAAATTCACCGTGCAAATACCTTGCAAATATATATGGAGAAACGAAGCGAAGGTAAAAGAAAGGGGAGGGGAGAACGATGGATTCGAGCTTGTCGGACACTAACTCGATGCTAATTTATAGTCCGTCCGCTCTCGATCTTGCCTCACACAGGCGAAGAAACGCTCACGCGCTCTTTGGAACAAACTACCCGAGCTGACCCGCGATCGTAAATCGGTTCTCGCGACGCCTCTCGGATACCTCATGGATCCTGACCTCCTCAACTTCCGCCCCGATTTCCAACCGTGCGCTCTTCCTTCACGCTTGGCTCGTTGTCTACAGGGTGGAAGGAAAAGTTTGTCCGTGGCTGAATGACAGATGAATTCTACTGCTTTCGATTTTCTACGGAGATATGTATATGG